ACATAAATATTGAACAAAAGGGGAGAGAGGACCGACCCCTGAGGCACCCCACAAGTTAGGGGTCTAGGAGTCGACCTCTGTCCCCCTGCCAATACAGACTGCGTACGGTCGGTGAGGAAGGAGGAGAACCACTGCATAACGGTGCCTCCCACTCCTAACTCACCGAGACGCCGCAGCATGATACCGTGGTCTACGGTATTGGCCCAGATCCCACTCAGCTAGCCCTTGCACACAGTACAGGAAAATTCAGACTGAAGAAAAAGATTGAGGCTCAACACGGAGCTGTAATTAAGCTGAAGGACTGTGTGGGTTAAATAAGAAAGAAAAAAGCAGAGACTCAGCTGAAGGCTTGCTAATTTAAAGGAGAGCTCTCTGCATAGATTGGGACAAAAGAATTATCTTGTTTGGGCTGCAAAAATGGAATGCTTTCTGAAGGCTAAGGAGCACTGAGATATTGTGATTAATCCACCCCAGGGGCAATTAGCAGCTGCAGATCAATGGAAGCATGATAAGGCACTGGCTTACATCATCTTAAGTGTGGAAGATGAACAATTTTTAAATGCAGCTGACTTAAAAACTGCAAAAGAAGTTTGGTTGAAGTTGAAAATCATGCATGTGAGTGAGTCAGCATGCAATACAGTGCAATTATCAAGGAAATTGTACAGACCCTGGCTGCTGCCACATGAGAGCATAGAAGAGCATTTGCTCCACATGCAGAAACTGTTTGTTGAATTAGAACAGTGAGGAATGCAGAATTCTGAATCTCAGAAGGTGCTGTTGGTACTAAATAGTCTTGATGAAACGTGGGCCATCATTTCAGCTATTTTTGAATGTAGACCAGAACAGGAATTAAGTATGGAAGCACTTAAAGCCTGTTTGATTTCTAAGGAACAGAAATGCCATTTTAGAAGAACCCAGGAGGAGAAATTCCTGAGGTGGGGATCCAAGGAGCAGAGAGAGCAAAGGAGCAGACTGACTGTCTACAGAGATCGGATTACATCTCAGCAGAAAATTCCCAAGAGGAAAGAACAGGAGAAAAAGACATGATTCATCTGTGGGGCTGAAACTCATTTAAAGAAAACTGTTTACAAGGAAGAAAAACAGAAAATGGACAAGCTGGTGTTGCAAAAGTTAGCTATTATAATAGCAGAGACAAATGGTTAATAAACAATGGGGCTAGTCAAACAATTGTTAATAATTCTAAGTTGTTTTCCAGATTGGATTCAACTGGAGGAGATGCAGTGGCCTTAGCAAATAGCCAGAAGGCAAAAGTCATGGGGAGAGGCAGTGTGCTAATTCCATGTCTGGAGGAAAGATTTAATAATGTATTGTGTGTGCCTGAAATGGAGCATAATTTACTAAGTGTCTCTAGACTTGACAAACAAGGGTTTGAGATCACATTTGTGGATGGGAGATGTCTCAAAAAAAGAAATAGGAGTTTATGTGCACAGGGCATAAAACAGGATAATCTTTATGTGTTACAGGCACAAAAGATTCAATGTGCCCAAACATTTGGTAATGTGGCACAACATGATTCATGCATTCATCTCTTCCACAGAAAGCTTGGCCATGCCAGCTTCAG